ACACAATTTTTTTTTCAATTCAAACCGTGAAGAAATCCCCTACGCTCCCCTACAGATTACCCTTTCTCCCCGTAGGTATTCCCCACTCCCTACAAGATGTCATAATCCCCTACTGTAGGGGAATCCCCCTACGAGTGGCAGCCTTGGTTGCTAGGCAACACCATGGTGTTTGCCACTGTACAGCTGTATTGTGGATTCAAATTTTAAAAAATAAACACCTAAATCGCGGGAAATTTGACAGATTACAGCGATTTTTGTTTACAATTCTGACACAGTAAAGCTTTAAAAATTCTAGTATTTTGTGGTTGATTATTTATTAAATACAATGTCAGATATACCTATATCTGACCCAAATTTGCAAAGGAAATTGAGTATAGAAAGTCTGTCATTAGCATACGCTAAAAAGTCTGCGGTCAAGGAAGTCATATTTGCAGTGAGTATCCCATATCCTTTATTGAAAGCTTGGTATAATATTGTGTCAACGTCAAATTATACTGGTAAATTTGCCTATACTGAGCTGCTAGAAAGTTGTATTCCTGGACATTCGTTTGCAATAACATCTGAAGAGGCAGTCAGGCTTCATGTTAACGAGTCCCTGAGGAAACTTGCAAGCCAAGTAAATGCAGATTATGGAAGAAGCAGAGGCAGGAAAAGGAAAGACCTCGAGTCGAGAGCCAAGAAATTCCATATTCTCGATGGGAAAACAGTCTCCGTAGCAGAAATGAAGCACAAGACCAAAATAGCTCATGACAGGTACAGGAATGGAAGGAAACTTGTCAGAATCTAGAAAGAAAAGTTCAACAGTTGTACCAAGAAATGAAACAATTGACCAGACAAAAAGGGGTAGAAATTTCAGGTTTACAAGCCAAAAATGAAGATTTACAAGCCAAAAATGAAGATTTACAAGCCTCAAATGAAGATTTACAAGTCAAAAATGAAGACTTGGAAGCCAAAAATGAAGGTTTGCAAGCCAAAAATGAAGAACTACTTAATTACATAGCACAACTAGAAAACGAGTTTAGCTACAATGGCAAAGGTATCTCTGAAGTGCAAAAGAAATCAAGATTATTGAAAACATTCATGTCTCGAGCCGAAGTGGCACTATGGTTTGCAAATTCATATGGACTTAAAGTAGAAAGTCTAACTGTATGTGAAATCAAGTCTGGTACTGAACATAAACTAAATATTGAAAATGCCAATTCAAGGAACAGCCATACCCATGGATTTGAAAATCTGTCTAAGGAGGATCAAGAAAAGGTTGAAAAGGTATTATTCCTTCTCGAGGACAGCTTTTATCATGAATTAACAATGTTGGAAAATGATTTACCAAAATCATATTTAGTGAAACAAAGGAGGGACCAACTTAACAAATTATGTCGCCTGAGTTCTACACCTGGCGAGGAAGAAGGATCCCAGTTTCGATTAAAAGATATTTTAACTGATAAAATGAGAGATTTCATTTCTTGCCCCCCAGAAAGATCAAATAACGAACAATGCATAAAAGTTAAAATTTCAGGGGATGGTGCTCAAATGACCAGAAATTCCAACTTCATTCTCATGAGCTTTTCTCTACTTCAATCATCTGAGGATGTTATGGCTGCCTGTGGCAATCATACCATTGCAATTGTTAAAAGTAAAGAAGACTACGATGTCTTAAAGAGGTGATTTGCAAATGTTTTCAAAGATATTAATGAGCTTGTTGCAGAAAAGAAAGTAGATGTGGATGGTAAAACTATAAATCTAGAATTATTTTTAGGTGGAGACTACAAGTTTCTGTTAATGATTTTAGGACTAAGTGCAGCAACATCAAACCACTCTTGTGTATGGTGCAAGGTGCACAAAAATGATAGATGGAATATGTGCTATGATGTGGAATATTACAGTTCAGAAAACTTTAAAAGAACTTTGGAAGATATGCACAATTGTGCAAAGCTTGGCAAAGGACAACAGAACTACTGCTGTGTTCGACCTCCATTATTAAACATAAAACTTGATCATGTGGTGATAGACGAGCTGCACTTGCTCCTACGCGTAATGGATGTATTACTTGACAATCTTGTCCAGGATGCATTGAACTGGGACCAAAAAGGCAACTGGCAAAGAAAGAAAAGCAATCATACAGCTACTCACCTGGAAAACCTTATTGTAACCATTAAATCTTGTGGAATCTCTTTCTCTGTTTGGGAGAAGCGAAATGCTAATGGAAAGTGTCGGGTACGTTCGAGTTCACAAGTCTTCTTGGTGATGATAAGAAAAAATTATTGAGGTCACTTCCCGATAAATTGGGGGGTGTAATTCAACCACATACTAAAGAGACAGTAAAAATGTTATGGCCAATCAGGCAAGCCAAAGCCATATGCGTGATTTTCTCTATTAGCAAATTACGTAACAGCTCACAACATCCTGACTGTCAGTCTGTCACTGCATGGTTAAAAACTCTTTACTCTTTTTTTGTTACTCTCTCTTTATTTACCTCAAAGACGAAAATGGAACCAGGAGTTGTTGAAACGGGGCAAACGACGGGAGAAGGTACGTACGTTTTGAAAGATAAATATTTTGTATATTCGAGACAATGAATGTTTTAGCTTTTATTGTTTTAAAAAAAATACGATAGAAAGTTATATATGTTGCCATTGTTGGCATGCGGTTTATATTTGAGTTGTTTTTTCAGGGTTTTGGTTTATTCCAAGAACTCTAATGTATATATATAATATATAAGAAATTGTATTTGTAACAACGTTAATTCAATAATTGTATGCATTTTTGAATCTCAGGCTGGCGTTTTTGTTGGTGTTTCGAAATCGTGTAGAATTGAGGCATATGAATATGGGCCACTCTATAAATTCCATATTCATCAACATAAGCTACATAGCTTTTTAAAAATACCATATTCAACTATATATCGGCTGTTTCTGTACATGAAAATCGCGAATTTTTCCCGAGTGCCCAATGCCAATGGGGCAATGGAATAAGAATTTCAAATGACGTATTAATTATATTCATTTTTGAATCTCATGCTGGCGTTTGGGGCCGTATATAATTGAGGCATGAATTTCGGCCACACTACGAATTCCATATTCATAATCTATAAGCTATAGGCTTTTAGAAACACCATACTCAATTATATATCGGCTGTTTCTGTACATGAAAATCGCGAGTTTTTCCCGTGTGCGCAATGAAATAAGAATTTGCAATGTCAATGATGTATTAATTATATTAATTTTTGAATCTCAGGCTGGCGTTTGGGGCCGTATAGAAGTGAGGCATGAATTTCGGCCACAATACAAAATCTATATTCATAAGCTATAGGCTTTTTATAAACACCATATTCAATTATATATCGGCTGTTTCTGTACATGAAAATGGCAAGTTTTTCTCGTGTGCGCAATGAAATAAGAATTTACATCAATGTCAATGACGTATTAATTATATTCATTTTTGAATCTCAGGCTGGCGTTTGGGGCCGTATAGAATTGAGGCATGAATTTCGGCCACACTACCAATTCCATATTCATAATCTATAAGCTATAGGCTTTTTAGAAATACCATATTCAATTATATATCAGCTGTTTCTGTACATGAAAATCGCGAGTTTTTCCCGTTTGCGCAATGAAATAAGAATTTGCAATGTCAATGACGTATTTATAATTATATTCATTTTTGAATCTCAGGCTGGCGTTTGTAGACGTGTAGAATTGAGGCATGAATTTCGGCCACTGTACAAATTCCATATTCATAATCTATAAGCTATAGGCTTTTTAGAAACACCATACTCAATTATATATCGGCTGTTTCTGTACATGAAAATCGCGAGTTTTTCCCGTGTGCGCAATGAAATAAGAATTTGCAATGACGTATTAATTATATTCATTTTTGAATCTCAGGCTGGCGTTTGGGGCTGTGTAGAATTGAGGCATGAATTTCGGCCACAATACAAATTCCATATTCATAAGCTATAGGCTTTTAGAAACACCATACTCAATTATATATCGCTGTTTCTGTACATGAAAATCGCGAGTTATTCCTGTGTGCGCAATGAAATAAGAATTTGCAATGTCAATGACGTATTAATTATATTCATTTTTGAATCTCAGGCTGGCGTTTGGGGCCATATAGAATTGAGGCATGAATTTTGGCCGCACTACAAATTCCATATTCATAATCTATAAGCTATAGGCTTTTTAGAAATACCATATTCAATTATATATCGGCTGTTTCTGTACATGAAAATCGCGAGTTTTTCCCGTGTGCGCAATGAAATAAGAATTTGCAATGACGTTTAATTATATTCATTTTTGAATCTCAGGCTGGCGTTTGGGGCCACTATAGAATTGAGGCATGAATTTCGGCCACACTACAAATTCCATATTTGTAGTGCACCATCTAATAGCTCTCTAGACACCAAAGTCAAGTTTACACCGACCGTTTCTTATGGAATCTACTTATCTACTCAGGGACCTGCTGGCTAGAAAGCAGCCGACGAGAACTGGTTGTGAGTCCCTGACCTCATGGGCCCTAAAATTAAAACATTTGAAAAGATGAAAAATATAGATTTTAATTTTTAAATCCCCCTCCCCGGTCTCGGCGCTCGCCAACAATTCAGTTGGGGAAAAAGATTAATTAGAGACTGAAATGTTTCATGTTTGATCCAATCTTGATCCAACCGTCACTGGGCCTTGGCCCCATCAGATGTTGCTCGTTCGTCGTCCTTTTCAAGACCCATCACGTCGCTGGTCGTCGTCCTTTTCAATACCCCATCACGTCCCTGGTTCCACTTTCCTTTGGAGCAGTGCAGGATATACCTTTTTAAAAAGTCTGCCTTGTGACGTCGTTAGGTCGGTTTAGGCATGAATATGGGCCACTCTATAGACTCTATATTATAATATATAGGTTATAGCCTTTCTGTATATCTAATTGTGCCATGTCTGTAATAAATCTAAAGTGCTACGGGTTCACCATAATATGAATTGTGCTGTGAACGAATGTGGTGGTAACCTCACAGTGTTTCATTTTGGTGAGAGCAAA